GCTGACAAGGACCAGCAATGCACGTTCTTGCCATTGTTAAATTACTGATACATTAATTGCGATCTAGTCTGGATGCTGCAGTTGCATTTTTATGCCTGTTTATTGCCTTTTGTTGCTGCCTGCTGAAGATACTGTGGGCAGATCCTACATCTGATGCTTTGTTTTAGTTGCCTGGCTACTGTAAAATGTTATCTTAGCTTTTGCTGAGGTGTCACAGATGCTTTCTTGATGAGTGTCCAAACAAGGAAATACATAGAAGATGCTGGTGAATGCTATGCCTGCCTAGTTCTGTTGCTTTTGCTAGAGATGCTGCAGTACCCTTCCTTTGCTTTGCTACTGCAGACTGCCTGTAAAATAACGTAAAAGGTAGACTGAAACCTTTCATTTATACAGCAGAGTCACGGTCAATACTAAAGGTAATATTATCTGTATCTTTGTATGCAAAGGAACTGTTGTTGAAAGGAGGTGGTGGGCAACCATTTCTCTTAATTACAATGCATTCTTTTCTGGTAATTGCTGCAAACGTTTTTTTCCTGTTAACTGTATTGCCAGATTTTTCTCTTCTTCTCTCCCTGTGAAAGTTTCCAACAGAGAGAGATTCAAATCTCAAAACTTAATTGGGATGTTGACTTCAAACTTCTTCCCTGCCAAAAACTGAAAGTAACCAATATTTCTGCTGCTCTCTGCATTTTCTGTTTATGCCTGCATAACTTTATCTCTTTACATCACCAGCACTTCTGACTAAATTGTTTTCTTGTACTCACAGTTTGATACCTCTTCTAAAGTCTCTGAATAAGCTATGTTTCCTTCCAGTCTGTCCAAAAACATTTTGTCAGCAAATAAATAAAAAATTACTTTTAACAGCTGTTTTACTTCCTTCTTTAATGTTATTGCAAGCTTTTTCTTAATTATTCTTGCCTTTTGGCAGTTGCGGTGCATTAATATTTACAAGATGAGACGTAGTTTTCTGTTTATATTAGCAGTCCTCTGTCTGTGAGATCTGGACCAACCAGAATGCAGGATATCCTTTCTCATCGATTCATCAGGTTCATAATGTAAGATACAGCGATAAACGGCTATGTTGTCACTCTATGGATGTACAGTCTGTTGCCGTGGTGTTATCTACGGGTGTCATGTCGCTGAAATGACAAAAAAGAGTTTGTAACTTGTCCGCCCTCCTTTGGGATTGTGTGTGCGCGCATTCGTGTATCGTGCCATGTGGTTAGCATCTGTCGGCTGTATGGCGTACATACAGGACAGGGGGGGATTGCCAGCAGCAGTCTCGCTCAGTGGGAGCTTTGACTTCTGTTCCTGATGTTTTTGTTTGCTCTCTTTTCCAAAGCGAGAAACCGTGTAAACAGCTCGGTTTGCACAGTTTCACCCCCACAATGTGTTGTGCTGCCCTTTCTGTGTTAATCTATAGGCTTTGCCTAGCTCAGAAGCACACCGTGTTTGCAGAGGCACTTTTGGGGAATTAGAGGTAACATTGGTGGTGCTCTGAATTTTCATCACTTCTGTGACAGTCGCGTGTGCTCTGCACGTGAGAGCAAACCTGGTGATCCGTGCTGCAGTGTGGTAAGGCCGACAGCCAGTCGTTCAGCACAGTGTTTCAGAAGAGCTGTAGATTTCTCCTAATTTCTGTCACATAACCGCCTCCTTGGAGCATTTGTGCCAGAGAGGGGCCGTTTTGGCCACTGAGCTCTAGAAGCTTTTAAAATGCAAGTACGCCACAAACCTGTTGCCAAACCTGTTACCTGCTTATTTCAAAACCCAAAGATACAAGGAGCTAAAAATATTTGTCTCACTATAGGAATTAAAACATAAGCAAATGATGAGGATTTAGCTGGTTGACAGAACATTTAAAATTCTTACACGGAGAAAATTATGAATTTTTCAGCCAGAAGCATTCTATCTATGCGTGCTCTAATTTATTGTTGTCATGGTGACTAATGCATGTTACCATACTAGGCATGAGGCTTTAACAGGTGAAAAGTTATAAGATGTGGTTCTTGTTAAAAATCAATACATTCAAGCCACTCAAAACCAGCGCGCGTGCTCACACACCCACACACCCACACACGCCCTTTTTTTTTCTTTTTGGTAGCATGGAAAGTTTTCAACTTTACATTTTTATAAAAAGATGAGGCAGGTGTTAGATTTTATAGAAGTTGTATTGATACCTGACTTCATACCTGTGACTACCTCTGCATCTAGGTGCCTTTAATATGAGTCAAATACAGTTCTCAGAGAATGGGATGAGATAGAAAAATATGCAACAATTGTAAAAAAATGTCCTAATAGCAGTAATCTGCTTCCGTAGCTCATTTCGCATCAAGCATCTGACCCTTTCTAGAGCACTGAGAAGTGCACATCTGCCCATTTTCACTGTTATGAAGCACTGCAAGAGCACAAGATGTTGGTCTTTAAGGCTATGATTTTATGGTTAAAAGTTGTCACTGTCAAAGAGTTAAATCTTTACTACTCTGGCAACTGACTTGAGACTGTTTAGTGATCTGTTTAGTTTATCTGCAAAATGTGGAGGTGGAGGCTTCTCAAGGTGACTGAGGCCGGAGAGGGGAAGGCACTGGTTAAAGGCATGGGGAGGTTAGAATAGTAGAACACAGGCAGTGCAGCAAAAGACACGTGATAAACTGCACAGCTGTCTGATGAGCTGTAAAGTTAGATGAGGAATAAATTATCTCTTACCTTTCTATTTCATCAGACAGATAAAAATCTCCATACGTATATTGTGTCATAAAAAATACATAAGCTTAAATGTTTGATTATTTCTTATAATTGCAAATTAAATATTCAAACCAGAAGATCCTTATCCTATCATATCTATTTTTAAAAATGAAATCAAACATCATAGTTGGTCCTCGACAGCGATTTACGAACATTTTTGTACTGCTTGAAAGAGTTTTAGGTGCTTATGAAGGTCCTGAATCTCAATACATCACCCATGAGTTGTTCCACACCAATTTCTCAGGTTTAGAACTAATTCATATTTTTCTACCCCAGACTTGAGACTTGTCATTTCAAGTCTTCTCTAGGTCAAAGATGTTTCTACTTTGTATTTTTGCTGAAGTTAATTGCCACCACCACATCCTAAATGTCAGCATTTCAGTATCTGACTAGAGTTAGTCAGCTGAGGACCTCCTTCTCTTCCTGTACAGGTTTTTACGCCTGGTTTTATGAAATTATTTAGCTGTCTAAATCCTGTTTAAAAGCCTTTCTCCCCCCTCAAAAAAAATAAAAAGGAAGGAAATTGTATGGGTAATATCTAACTGGATTTACACTTCTAAACATCTTCATGTGTCTGGGTTTTGGAGACTACCCTGTTATAACTCAGTCTAAATAACTAATGAATACTAGCAATAGTATGGTTTGAAAACCTAAGGAGTTTGGTAACCAAAAAAAAAAAAAAGCAAAGGAGACCAGAAGACGTTTCTGCTGAATATTAAAAAACACTTATGATACAGCTACCAAAAAAGCCCCAACTGTGATTGTGTATAACACGTCTTCTTCATCCATCATAATAATCTGTACCTGTGATGTTTAATTTTATGCAGCTTTTCTCAGGAGCTGCTCTCTCTACAAGACACACTGAACTACGTGAAAGGTCTTCAGGTGCAGTGGTCTGTCAAGAGCAGCAGAAGCCCTGTACCTCTGTGTGCCCTTAACCTCAGCTGTATTGTGTGTTTAGGTCATCCTAGAGACATGCACAGCAGTCATATCCATTCTGTTTTGTCTAATTTAAAAGGAGTAGGTACTCGGATGTTTGTCTATATTTATAGAGCAATTAATGGATGCAAAGGAATGGTCTCCGCACAGTCCCTCTCTAAGTGTCTCATACACTAGTTTTATCAGCCTGGTTGATAATTATTTCTCATTTTCTCATGATTATTGCTTCCTAGCTCCTTTATAAAACTGAAGCAATATGAAAGGTGATCACTGTTCCTCTTGTTACCACCCTTCATTTGCAGACAGAAGCAATGCAATCTTCCATGCATATCTTTCATACAAAAGGGAGTCAAACTGTAAAATTATGTACATGTTTTACTCCTCGTTTTACTCGTACCTTGTTTAATTTGTCAGTACTGTCCATTTTCTGCAAGCAAGGAAAGTCCCCTGCAACACAGAGCAATGGAAGGGTTTGGAGCACTACCCAAGGTGATTTATTCTGTAGAAATTCTGCTCCTCCCTCATGGCTGTCCCCATGCTTCCTCAGTGGAAAGACCGATGGTCAAAAGACGTGCTTTAATAGCTTCTCTGTCCTGGATTTACTCCTGTTCCATCATAATAACCTTTTGCTAAATGGATAGGATGTACTTTGTGAGTTCTGCTTCCTCAGAGAACATGCAGGAGTGTATGTTTATTAGGCAAAAAAAGCACTGTTTCAAGTGGTCTGTTAGCTATGGCCTTGAACAGTTCAAAGGAGACAGCTGAGCGCACTGAGAATTTGTGATGGGTACAATCCATCTTCTCTTTTATTCAGATACAAACTCCACTAATAAGGATGCAGATCCTTACCCCTTGTAATATGATTGAAACCTTATTTTATAAGGAGAACTGCTTCTTAAAGAGATCAAATTGCCACTTCAGATTAAATATGATGAAGGTTTTTATACATTAGTGGTCAGAAAGATTAATTTCTGTGGATACAGAATGCCAAAAATGGAAGCAGTTGCTGCTGCTTTCCTTTCAAAATTTGAGGTTGCAGTCATATCCATAGCATATAGGCAACTTAACTAGACAAAACAGAAATTACAGTACTGAATAATTTGTAGATGCGCTAATAGTTCCAACATTGACTAGGTTTGACTTGTTTTATGGTGTTCACTTGCTTGAAGTTACCATATCGGCAGGGTAATGTTGATGTTTCCAGATTTATCTCTTGCTTTTCATTGCGGAGTTGTGCAAATGTGTGTCATTTCATTATTTTGTGACACATGAAAATGATGTACTTGTTTTGTTTACTCTGTTCTGATTTAATTAGTAAGATGTGATAGTTTGCCAGACTTTTGAATGTCTTCGATAAGAATTTTTTCATGTCTTTTTGATACTTAGCTTCTTTTTGCTTTAAAAGTCTTAACTTCTAGCCATATTCTGTGTGAAATGCTGATGACAATTCCTTGCCAGCTTCAACACATATTTTAACAATATGACATGCATAGAAAATACACAGAGATGAGTGCAGGTAAAGAAAGAATTAGCATCATCCAAATTGAAATAAACATATAGGAGAGAGTAAAGTGGTTTGAGAGAGAACAAGCGGGGAGGAGAAGGATGAGAAAGGAGAAATTGGATCCCCAGGAGACAGAGTGGGAAGGAGAGGGGAATTCAGAGACAGACCAGACCAGACAGGATAGGGGAGAAGTGAGGCTGGTGACAGAGGAAAGAGGGCTTGGGAAAAGGAGAAAGGCTCCATCCACGGGTTATTGTCAGCTGACACTGGTTTGACAGCATCCGTGGTGTTGAGGACAGGCAGCCTGGGCACATGTGAACTAAAAGTAGGAGAGAGAGCAGTTAAAAATTAAATACCCTCAAAATAGTGTTTTTCTTGCATGTGCCTGCTAGGTGGAAGGAGCCCCCAAGAGCCCAGCGGTCAGTCCAGGTCCAATAAAGACATGTAAAAAAATACACAGTGGCAGGGGAGACCAAGGCCAGCACTGCCTGTACCGAAGCCTGCATTGGCTCTTTCTGGAAGGGAGGAGAGCATACTGTGAAGGGATTTAGCAGCGAACTGCAGTCCTACCCATGTTCTCTCCTGGCTTTGAGGAAAGAGGGGAAGTGACAGCTCAGGAAGTCAATCACCCATATCAGTGAGAATGGTGAATGCGGAAGGGCGCTGTTAGTAATTCTACAATAAGATGTCAAGAGAAGGTGATCAAAGTAAATATTCATAAAGAGATTAAATAATACCTCATATATTTGAAGAATGTATGATAAGTCTTCAGATCAAAGCAAAGTCTCAGTTATTTAGCCTTTTAGGAAAGTTAGTTATTGGGTATATGTGCTGGATAATGGAAGACTTACTAACTGTGTAGAAAAGCTTGTAAAACACATAGCGGAATTTGTGAATGGCATTTTTGTGCATCTCATGATTATTTTTTTTCAAGTGTTCTCATCCTCATGTATGTATTGTAAACAGTTATTTTTAAGGAACATTTCCGGTGCCTAATGATTTTATTCTCAAAGCAAATAGATTTAATTAAAGCCTCATTAAACACTACAGTAGATGACTTTGGATTATAAATTAAATCATGAAAAATGTTGTAGGAGTTCTATTCCCTTATTTTAGTAACATGGCTCTGTGTAGAAAATAAATTACTGTTAATTGAGCACAACAACGGAAGGCTGCTTTATAGCGAATTTGCCTGCAACTTCTCTTATATCTCAAACTGTGATTTTCAGACAGGAGACTGGGGAGAGCCTTCAATTACCTTGCGACCTCCAAATGAAGCCACAGCATCAACGCCTGTACAGTATTGGCAGCATCATCCAGAGAAACTCATCTTTCAGTCATGCGATTATAAAGCATTTGTAAGTGTTGATAAATTTGGTGGTTTGATTTGAGGTAGATCTATTCATCTTAGATTTTGATAGGCTTTGGTTTTTTTTCAGTTACAGTATTTTTCAGTCACTTTTAATGAGACGGGCCACTCCCTCTCTGACGCTGTAATTGCAATAAATGAGAAACAAGGATGCACAGTACTTCCTGCTATGAATTTGGTGATACATTGTATTCCATGTAGAGATAGTGTTAGAAAAATGGCACTGAACAAATGGTTAAGGCTTGTAGAAGTGACAGTGAGAACAAACACCCCTACTCCTCATCTGTCACAAATCCCTGTCTAGCACTTATGGACAAATAATTAAACATAATATGGGACCCTCATGCCTGCCTTAATGGTGTGTGCACAGTAGTTAAAGTAAGTGTTGCCTTGCCAGAATTTTATGCACCTGTTTTTGGGGAAGGGAGCTAGGGAGGATAGAGATCAGGGTCCTGAAGCAGTGTTTTCTGTCCATGGGACAAAGGCACGTTCTAACCTCTCCCAAACTGATTACTTGCAGTACCAGTAGCAGGCAGTTCCTTCAGGGCATTAATTTTACCTCCCGATAGCTGTAGCTGATTCCCATTTCCCATCCCTGGAGAAATGGAGCTTCCCTCTAAAGATAAAGATGATCAGTGTTCTCTGGCTGTTATAAATGCTTTTGAAGGAGAGGAAGGTCTCCTGAAGAACAGGAAGTCACATTGGAAGACTTTGTTTCAAATGAAACACACTTTCCTGAAACCTTGCGTTCCCCATCAGTGGCAGCGGGGACTGGTGCTTCTCTGGGGTTTTGAAGATGTGCCTCAGCCCACCTGTCTAAACTCTAAGTTTCTCGTTCCAACTTTGTTGGAAAGCGCTGTTAAAGTTGCTGAAGGTAATTCTCAGACTTCTGTGTCCTCTTTGGAGGTGGCCACCGGACGAAGCAAGGCTGACATTTTACAAAAGGAAAGGGGGTCAGCAGTTGTAGTGCCTTTAGCATAGTAACTGGGGGTTAACCAGTTATCCAGGACATGGGTTTTACATCCTCTTCACCTGAAGGAGCTTGGATCCTTAGTGCTGTTTAGGGTAATGCTCTGTTCACCAAACACTCAAGCATTTGGGAGGAGAGAAGAATTGGAGACTATGTGCAGGTGAGACAGAGCCTGGCTCTCAGCAGGGAGTGGCAGAAGTGGTATTAGAGGCCTGTCTCGCTGGAGCATGTATCTTCCATCAGACCTTCATTGCATAGAAATGCCATGTTTGCCCCTGGACAGTAACCAGAAGCTCTGCCTTCCTCAGCAAGTCACAGTCAAGGTCCAGCTCACCCGCTTTCAGTCTTGCTCTCCTCCTGTGCAGCACCACAGATTGAAAAGGAGGCTTAGTGACTTCTAGTGCTTTAAATATTTTTCACAGTTTTCAGTAAAGTGAACAGGTTTCTCTCAAGAGTGCCTCTTATCTCATTATTTGATCCAGCAGTAAATTCATAGTCAGATGTAACCGTTGTAGTAGATTGGAAGGTGCGCGAATCATTGAAGAAGTTAAGTTGGGATGACCAGGAATGTCCAGGTTACTGGTGATTAAGGAATCACCAAATCAAAATATCCAAGTTACTGGTGATTAAGGAAACATCTTCCTTGTGTACAGATCATGAGTCACTGCACTGTATCAGCTCCCTGTGCTATAATGACCTTATTAATGCCCTTATGGAGTAAAACCCTGGCTTGGAAGTTATAACGGAGGCAGCTTTCATTGTATGCCACGTTCACTCAGTTGAACTGTTGGATGTCCTCCGCGTTGCTCCCACATGATCTGGGTCTTGGAGAAGGAACATGTCCAAAAGTACAGCAAGTCAAAGGAAAGCAAAATTCCCTCCTTGAATTTCAAATTTTTCTGACAACTACATTGGACAGCACCTCTATGATTTGTTTGTCTATTCCACAGTCCACCCTGGGAACCATTTCTGAGTGCCTGCAGCTGAGGCTTTTCTACTGCTGTGCAGATGGGACAGGAGCTGCCTGTCTCTTCTGTTTCTTCCTCTTGGTCTGCTGTGAGCTCAAAAGCACTGGGAGTTTTTTTCCTGATGCCTGACCCACTGATAGCCTTCAAGGAAATACCAATTTGTTGTGACGTAGTCTATAAAAAAAATAATAAAATGAAAAAAATTGAAGAAATTAATTGCATCCTTCCCAGAGAAGGCTAAGGGTTCCAAAAGCATCAGACAGCAGGATCCCAGGGAAAGATACAGTCCAACTGAATATGCTTTTGTTTAATTATCTAATTTCAGAGCTTGCTTTAAATTGGTTGTTCTCCTGCAAGGGCAATACCAAGCCATCCCATCATATTAATGCCGAAAGCCCTATTCATGTCACCAGTGAGCCCCCAGCTGGACTCGCAGCTGCTTGGTTTATGAA